AATTCTTCCTGCGGTTGGGTGTTGGCATCTAGAAGAAGTACTCTCGCCCCTCCCGAATGTTGAATGAATGTTGGGTTTTTATTGCTAATTATTTTTATTCACATTTTCTTTTTGTGTTTTGTCCTGCACTCCCTTCCCCTATCATTGTAAGCTGCTCTGAGTCCCCTCAGGGAAAAGGGCGGCCTATAAATGCTAATAAAATGAAATGAAATGAATGCTCTTTAATCACTATGGTGCCTTCCGTCCTAATCACCACGGGTTCTTCCAGGTGCCCAAGCGCTGAGGGAGCACAATGAATGGTGGCGATGATTGCTCTGGTGTGGATCAAGGTGGGCGCCCAGCAGTCACACCTGTGCCTGTGGGCTGGCAGCGCAGGGTGGAAGAGGGCAGAGTGTGCTATATCAGGTACAGCCCCCACCCCGACCATGTATTTCTTTCTCCTCTGCTTTCCAATGCTGCTTTTGTGCTAATCGGTCCTGTCCCTCTTTTCTTTCTCCTAGTCCTAGCGGGACGAGCTTGGCTTCCTTGGAGCAGACTCGTGCGTATCTGCTGGCGGACGGCACTTGCAAGTGTGGGCTGGAGTGTCCCCTCAACGTGCACAAGGTAGAGAGGACTGAAGAGAGGAGCTGATTAGTATCTGATGTTGAGAGTTCCTGGGGTAGAATTTTTTTTTTATTTATTTATTTTTTATTATCCCCACAAGGATAAGAGACTAATAACACGTAACAAGAAATGCAGGAAACTCTTTTAACAGCAAATCAGTGGGTCCTTCTAGCTTGGTTTAGCTGGCTGGTTAGAGCTTTCTAGTTTCAGCCAGGTGTCTTTCTCAGTCTTCATGCAGGTGGCAGGAGTGGAGCTTGGGAACATTTCCATGCAAAGCATGTGCTTTATCACTGGGATATATTTCTTGCTAGTCAGGTGATAGATCAACTAAGAGCATGATTTACCGCGTTAGCCTTCCAGCTCCTGTAATCTTGCCTGTTGGCTAGGCTAGTTGGGAGTATATAGGAAACTGAATTATGGCACATCTGGAGGACAGCAGTTTGAGGAAGGCTGTGCTAAACTGATTTGGAAGGTCTTTTTATTGTCAGTAGGCTAGAGATAGACTACCTCATTATATACTTGATTGGCAATTAAGGTCTGTGGGAGAGACTCTTTTAAACACACACTCACACACACCCCACTCTCAGTCTTTTTTAACTGGCCAAAGACGACAGCCTTCCAGGCAGTGGAATAGAGTTTTGAAACAACTACATTTAAACCTCTCTTCTGTTTAAGAGCAATCAAAATACACTCTTCCTTTTGTCTTTTAACTGTCAAAAAAGTAAGAGTTGGAGCCTAGAAAATGCTCAGTCGGGTTACATTTCATTCAGATTAAATGCAGGTTTAAATTATCATAGCGTGTATTATCAGCGGCTGGAGGTTGTGCCCTTCCTCTTAAATCCCCCTGAAATCAGTGGAAGGTCCTTCTGAGGAACTCATGAGGTTTCTGATATTCAGTTACAGTCCTGATTCCTACTAGAACCTAAGCCGTAGCATCTTTTGTCAGATGAAGGAAGGGCGGGTATTCAGTCATTAAACCTTTTCCCGTTACGGTTAGGTTTTCAACTTCGACCCTGCAGCAATGGTGATTGGGAGTGAAGGCAGCAAGGGAGACCAAGACATGACCAAGCTCTGCAATCACCGGCGGAAAATTGTGGCAATGGCAACACTTTATCGCAGCATGGAGAGCCATGGTCCGCTGGGCCTGTCACATCTGGGGCCAGGTAACTCTGTTGTTTGATGAATGGCCTGGTTCGTTTTCTTCTTTTCTTTATCTGTTCTTTGTCCCAGTGCTTCTCATTTGGCCTCTTGCTTGGCATGAGGAAGAGTCTGAGTGAAAATTCTGGATTAACCTTTTAAATAGAAGCCGTGCCAAGTCCCCCCCCTCCCTCTCCCTCTCCCTCCCTCCCTCCCTCTCTCTCTCTCTCTAACTAATTAACTACAGGTGGAAAAAAAATTAGAATATCGTGCAAAAGTTCATTTATTTCAGTAATGCAACTTAAAAGGTGAAAGTAATATATGAGATAGACTCATTACATGCAAAGCAAGATAGTTCAAGCTGTGATTTGTCATAAATGT